CTAGCCTGAAGAGGGAATGAATGATTCTTTGAACTAAAAACAGTCTCAAATAGTAAATATAAGACAGTTTAAAACTGCAAAACAACAAAGACAAAGGGGAGATCTTTGAAAAGCAATAAGAGAACTTTAAAAAGAAAAAAAAAAGCCTACCAAAGAATCATCATTAGAATGTCAGAAGCCAGAAGAAACTGGAACTGCATCTTTAAAACACTAATGGAGGAGCTTCCCTGGAGGCTCAGTGATAAAGAATCTGCCCGCCAATTAAGGAAACAGGGGGTCTGATCCCTGATCTGGTAAGATCCCACATGTTAAGGAGCAACTAAGCCCAGAAGCCACAGCTACCGAGCCTACGTGCCATGACTACTGAAGCCTGTGCGCCCCAAAGCCTGTGTCCCCCACAAAAGAAGCCTCCGCAGTGAGAAGCCTGAGAGCATAACTAGAGAGTAGCCCCTGCTTGCCACAACTAGAGAAAAGCCCGCTCAGCGACAAAAGACCCATAGCCAAAAGTAAAGAATAAATAAAGTTATATATTAAAAAAAAAACAACTAATGGACAGTAACTAACCCAGCGGAGGTCAAATAAAGATTTAGATGAGACAGAAAGTTTGCTACTCACAGATCCTCAGTGAAAAGAACGATTCAAAGGTTTGTCTCAGGAAAAGCACTGAATCCAGAGAAGAATCCCATATAAAAACCAATGGCACTGACTGCGGAAACCCCATCCGTTCAAGAATGAAAACTGCTCCCGAGGGGAGGGCTGACAGTTTCTTCCCTCTTTAAGTGCCTACAAGATTTCACTGAATTGTATGATCTGTATACTCATTAACTTGACAGAACAAATGTAGTAAGTACTTGTTTCTCCCCGAATTCAACAGAAATGTTATAAATTTATTAGCTAAATATGTTACTCATTTCATTCATTCAAAATGTGTGTGTGTGTGTGTGTATGGAAGGGGGGAGGGGAGGTTGGACAAGAGCCAAGGGAACACAAGCGCCTACTATGTGCTGTGCACATAGTTTAGGTGCTGAAGATAATCAGTGAATAAAACAGAGCAAAGTTGTTCCCTTTGTGGAGTTTATATTCCAATAGGAGAGGCAGACAGTCAACTCCACACACACACACAGAGGAAGGTTGGTAAGTAACAAAGAGAAGAACGCAAGGCAGGGGATGCAGAGTCCGAGTCGGACTTTGAGACAGGACTTGGTATCAATAACGTCATGGCAGAAAGAGCCCATAGAGTCAAAGTGTAACTAGGAGAATTTTAAAAGGAGGTGACTCACAAGGATGAGGAGGGTGAGTGGACAGACAGGCAGGCAGGACCCCCCTGGGACCGAGGGCAAAGGGAGGGGACAGTGGGAACTGCAGTCACAGGCTAGGGCCCTGGGCCCACAGAGGGGGAGTCCAGCCACAAGTAGACCACAGCCGTGCAGGAGGGAGCGGGGTGACCCCAACCGACCCCGCCTCCCACCATTCCCCCATCTCCTGACAAGATCTCTGTCAGCTGGAGCCAATCAGAGGGCCAAGGGCAAAGAAGCTTAAGAATGCTTCTCAAGTTGATAGTGATCAAGGGCCCAGGGCATCAAGCAGGGTTCTGCTGGAGCAAGGGGGAGAGGGTCAGGGAAAGTCCTGGAGAAAAGCCTTCCAGGCAGTAGGACCAGCACACCCAGGCAGCTTTGAGGGAGAGCAAGGCCAGTGAGGCTGCAGAGAGGCAGGCAAGAGATGAGGACAGAGAGGTGAGACGGGTCAGGAAGACTCTGCAGATCATTAGAGGGACTTCATCTTTGACTCTAAGTGAGAAGACTTGGAAGCAAAGGATGTTTTGAGCTAAGAGTATCAACCCGCTAATGCTTTAGAAGGATCCCTGGGGCAGGAACTGTAGGGACATGGGTGGGATTTGAATCAGGAGGCTGTTTTTAATAGCACACAAAGGAGATGAGGGTGGCTTGGACTGGTATGGCAACAGTGAGGGGGTGATAAGAATCTTAACTCAAAGTCCAGGAGTCTGACTAAAGTTGTAAGTGGGTTGAATAAAAGTGCTTTTCAAGATTTTTTTCTTTTCTGTAACTAAAAACATGATAATGTTTTCAACCAGGGATTTACTATACACATTAAGCAATAAAGTGCATGTATCAAACTTGGCATGTAAAGTAAAATATCTTTTTAGGAAAGTTACTTATAAGCATATATCAATAGGTTCAAAAACATTAATATATTTTTACCCATTAATCTCATTGCCAAGAATCCTATGGTAATAAAGTCATGTGATCAAATATAAGTGTACCATACATTATTTACAATGGTCAAAACCTGGCTATTACACCTAAGGGTAAATTTAGAGTTGTCAGGTAGAACAGATTGACTACATGGCCTTCAGGAAGTCTTCCAAAAGTTTTATAAGTTTGAGTGATTTTATTCATTTTTGCAACCAGGTTTTTGGTAAAGATAAAATTGTAGTGATTTCAATACTGCATTCATTACACCTTGAATGATGTGTTGTCCATGTCAAATACATACTTTTAGCATTAATCCAGGTAGAAATCAGGTTTAAGGTCCTCTCATGAAAACGAGAGTGACTCAGATAGTAAAGAATCTGCCTGCAATGTGGGAGACCTAGGTTCAATCTCTGGGTCAGGAAGATGCCCTGGAGAAGGAAATAGCTACCCACTCCAGTATTCTTGCCTGGAGCCCATGGACAGAGGAGCCTAATGGGCTAGAGTCCATGGGGATCAAAAAGAGTCAGACACAACTGAATGACTAACACACACATGAAAACAAAAGTATTACTTTAACAGAGGACCAAAAGACACAGTGTTTGGTCAAACGTGTTCACAAGGATCATGGGGAGAAGAACTGTAAATAAACCTAAAAAATCAGTTTGTGATCAGGTTAAGAACGTCCTTAAATGCCAAGATAAAAAGTCTGTGTTTTATTCTGCAGTTTCAAGGACACTTAAAAGATTTTCTCAGGCAAAAAAAAAAAAAACCCAAAAAACCACCACATTTATAATTATTTTTAAACTGTAACTTTCTAAAATTAATCTGGCACCAATCATGCAGTATTTCACAGCATTTGAGTTGGAAGAGTTCCTGAAAGCCTTCTGACTCAATCCCCTTTAAGCATGGAATGCAGGGGGGGTTCCCAGAAAGCAGAGAGAGTAAAGGGCAGGTGCTGCAATGATCCGGATGCAGGTGGCACAGAGCGGAATGTGTACCATAGAAGATGCAGTAAGAAAGAGGGCGTGGAGTCTTCAAGTTCACATTCATACAATTTTGTACCAAAACATAAACCAACTAACAATCCCAACCACAAGATCTGGATTCTGTCCACAAACATTTTAGTTTTTCCTCTTGAGATGTCACTGGAAACCTACATAGGCAGTTTGGAGTAGGATGTGTATCTATCAGCTTCCTTTAATAAAACTCATGTGCCAGGTTATTCTGTACAATCCCTTGGCATTGAGAAGACTCAGTTACCTTCAAAACTAACTCCATTCATAAAATTATCTCAACTCTATTTCCTGAGTGTGTGTTGTTCTATTTATCTACACCAGTCTTTCAGAAAATAATCTCTATAATCGTTCATGTGTAAACCCACTGACTTTTACTGCAGATACATGAAACAGTGCTGTCAGATCACAAACATTTTTCAAAGTTTCCCAGATGTCACCGTGCAAAGTGAACTCACTCTTGGTACTGAATACCATGTATGTCTCTAAGAGCACAACTGATGCATGCCATCATTATGACTGACAAGTCATACAGATGATCTGAACCAAGACATCTGACTCAAGGTTCAAAAGAAAAAAAAAAAAATTTGGTTGTAATTCTGATATAATTTCTTACTTTGGCTCAGAAGAAAAAAAATAATCTTTACATTTCACTTCACTCTGTACAGTTTCCGTATCTTTTTAAATGTTGTTAGTGTCTCAGCTGAGTTTTGATGATTCTTGGTGAGGATGGTATTTTAAAAGCCCATTGATTGCCTAAGTCTGTAATCAAACTAAAAGTCACTGATATACTCCACATAGATGAATTCTAGGCTTATGTGAATTAAATATAATGAGGCTGTTATTATTTGAAAGCCCACTGAACATAAACAGTACTAAGTAATAAAATATTCCAGCTAGCAGTTAATAAACAAAACGACTGCTATCCTTCCCAAGCTGTCATCACTCATATAAATAATTGTCTGCTGAACTGAAGTAAAGTGATGCCTGAGGTGCATCTGGAAAGATACAGAACTTTTATGCTCAGTTTACTCTGATATCAACATTTCTTCACCTTCCCTGGGCACATACAAACTCGGTCATGATTAAAATTGATACAGTCATAATCTCATAGACAACTAAGTTGATTAAATTTTAGTGATGTTATTTACAAACATATCATAGCTGAAGTCTAAACAAACTGTTAAGAGTCTCAAGTCTAAGGCACACTATAACTATTTAATTTACAAAATAATCAACTTTTTCTCAAAACCTAATTTGCATATTAGATTTTATTTGGGATTTTTGTATTTTGCACTGGGTTGTATTTTGATTTCTGGAGTATTTATAATTAACTCTTGGTAATTCATAACTAAAGAAAAGTAAAGGCGTAAAAATTTACTTTTGAAAAGGAGATTAATCATTAGACAAGTTCATGTATACGTTCACAGAATGGTAAAGACCAAGACCTGGGAAGTGCTGACCCCTTCATTTTACAGACAGAGAAACTAAACCTCTGAGAAATTAACTGTCCCGCTTAAAAGTAACAACTAGTAAGTGGCAGAACAAGGATTCAAATCTAAGACAATTTGACTCCAAAACCCAAGTCTTCTGGGATTCATAAACAGAGCTCTCACTGCACAGCCAAAATGAATTACAGCCCCAGAAGGTTAACTTTGTTTTTCAAATACAATTCTGAATTCAAAACCAAAAATTATCTGTAATGTATAACCAACAAGGGTGAACATCTATGATGATGGGTGTCTTAAAGAGTGGGGTTTTATTTTTTTTTTACCTTGAGCCATGTCACACTCCTTGATCATCTTGAGAAAGTTGGAAATTTCTCTATCTAGTCTCTGTTGGCATATCTGTGCTTTCTGGAAAAGAAAACAAAAGAAAAGTTAAATACGGAATTTTTACAGTACATGCTTTAATGTTGCCATTGCAACTTTTTATCTCATAGGCTGATATACTGTAATAATTGAGACAGGTTCCTAACAAAGAGAAAAGGGTGAGAGAAAACCGCCTTAGAAACAGAATATAGCCATGTACAGATTAATAAAAAAAAATTCTAAATTTTAAATACATTCAACAAGTAGATACTACACTGTATCAATTACTTGTAATAACTCATTACACAATATATATCTGACAGATTTCTGATTTATTCACACTTAGTGGGCTTGATTAAATTCATCGAGAAATTATAAAATGCACTCATTAAGAATATTTTTTAGAAATTGTTTTTGTTTGAAAAAATCCAGATGGTACTAACATTTGGAAACCACAACCGGATTTTCGTTCAGCAAATCTAAGTGAGCACAGCCCCCACATATTCAGACCAGAAGAACATTTTTTCAGTCAGTGAAAGCTTATGAAAATAAAGTAAAGCAGTCTTCCGTGTAATCTGAAATTTCTACATATTTAGATCCGTAAAAGCAAAACATACAGAGTTTCATGATGTAAACTGCATCCCATTTTAGTATAGATTTGTAAGCCCAAAAACGAAAAATCAGGTAAATCTAACAATGTAATTCTGAAATAAGTTTTTTTTAGTTTCCTTTAAAGGAAACTAAGAAGCAAGAATAAGAAGCAAGAAAATCATCATTGTAAAGTTGGTTGGTTATGCAATAAGAAAATATTCTGAGAACCTTGACCTTATCAAGATTATCACACTGTTGTAGGTTGAGTAATACATTAAGCCTATGAGTTCGTCTCTGGTCGCTCAGTGGTAAAGAATCCGTCTGCCAAGCAGGAGACCAGGGTTTGATCCCTAGATCGAGAAGATCCCCTGGAGGAGGAAATGGCAATCCATTGTAGTATTCTTACCTGGAGAATCCCATGGACAGAGGAGCCTGGCGGGCTATACTCCAAGGCGCAGCAAAGAGTCGGACATGACTGAGCGTGCACACAGGAATCTTCTCTACTTTGTATTCCTAACATCAACTGGCTCATCACCCAACATTTTTACTCCCCCTAAATCAGACCTATGTGCCAAGGTGATAGAGGTACGCGTGCTTCCCACCTGTAAATCTTTCAGTGATTCAACTCAGCTCAACCACAGCAGAATTAATCACGGTACCACATTAGTGACAGGCAATGTTCTCTCTAAAATGTACATTACTCCATTTTGAGAGCTCCAACAACATAAAAATGTGGTTCATTTTTTTGGGGGGGAGGGGGATAGGAAGAATACCTACATTGTGCCAATACCTTTCTGTGCCACCACAAAAACAGAAACAATATGCTGGATAATTCTTTCAGACACAGTCTTTAAATACACATTTAAGGCAAGAAAAAAGTTGATCAGGGGCCACTGAAAACATGCACTGCACAACCAAATGTATCACTCATAATTTATTAATAGAAAATTGTCATTTCACTCTATACATATTTAATACCCCTGCCCATGTGCACATCAATACTACTGTTTTCTGTCTCTCTTTTTTTCTATGGTGAAAAGTTCACTGGGTGCACAAAAGCAAACACTAGCTTCATTTGCAGACTGTGAGTCTATAATCGTAGTTCCTGTGGTTACAATTAAAGACAAGAAATACTCTCCTGCATCAACCTCAAATGCCGGAATTACATTCATCATCCTTCAGTATCTCTAACAGCAAAGAAATTTACCCTGATCCACAATTTACTTAAGAGTTACTCGGTAGGTCAGCTGGAGAAGATTCCATCTACACATGCTATTTCACAGTTGTATACAAACAGGTATCTGCTATTCTAAACAATTAATGTCGTTTAATTGATGCTAAGAAGCAGCAGCGTCATATACACAATTTTTAAAAATCCACATTCTCTAATTTGTCATCAGTTCCTCTTAGTGCCTACTGGTTATCGTACAAAAACCTAAAAATCTAATAGTGTGTACATGCTCAGTCTCTCAGCCATGCCCGACTCTGTCACCCCATAGACTATAGCCTGCGTCTGTCCATGGAATTCTCCAGGCAGGAATACTGGAGTAGGTTGCCATTTCCTTCTCCAGGGGATCTTTCCGATCCACGGATCGAGCCCGGGTTTCCTGCATTGCAGGCAGATTTTTTACCGTCGGAGCCACCAGGATTTAGGAAGGTTAATGTTCATACATTCTCCGCAGAGCCCAGGATGGTATCTCACTGACTTCTATGCTACACTTCTTATATCAGGGACTCTTCTTAGATTTCCATTTTTATTGACCCTACATAAATGAGCTCTCATGCGAGCAGTGTTCTTATAGCTGAAGTGTGACAGTATTTCCTACCCAGGATACCTGGGCACAGAACCCAATAACAGGAGCACACCCACAGACCTCGGCCACAGAGGGTGGCAGATGCCTGGGTAGCAGCTGGGCCCCACTCAGGACACAGGTCTCCTGCTGCTACTTCTTCCCATCCAGAGTTCTGCTGTTGGTTTTAAGTTGATGTTAAATCCTGATATACGAGACAGTTCAAAAATGTGTATCAATGGAGTAGGCATCTACAGAGGAGCGGTTAGGGTAGGAGACAGGTTATTAATTCCAGCCTATTTGCCACACACAGACAATCCCATAGTTGGTTAATTGAGAGCCAAAGCATTAGTAGATATAAATTATTACATATAAAATAAATAATAAGGTCCTACTGTACAGCACAGGCAACTATATTCAACATCTTGTAATAAACCATAATGGAAAACAGTAAGAAAAGGTATGTATGTAAATGTATAACTGAATTACTTTGATGTACACCAGAAACTAACATAACACTATCAATCAATTACACTTCAGTTTTTAAAAAAGGACCAAAGCAGACTGCCTTCTATTCATCAATAAAAAGAAACTACTGATACACACAACATCGTGGGTGAAAGATGACAGGCACCAAAGAGACATATGGTGTGATTCCATGTAGCTGGAATCCTAGAATGGGCAAAGCTGACAAAGACTGTGATGACAGAGCAGCTCAGTGGCTGTCTCAGATGGAGTAGAGAACACTTCTGAAAGGGGAATGGAGATCTTTTTGAAATGATAAAAACATTCCACCCCTGGATAGGAATGGTGGCTGCACAGGGTATTTGTCAGAACACATCACTGAAGATGCTACAATGCCCTCATTTTAACAGAAAAATTGTACCTTAATAACATTTAAACTTTAAAATTAATGGATTGTAGAACCCAGATAACCTTCCTCTGGAGACAACAGCCAGCATCCTGAGCCCTGGAGCCCCGTACTGATATCCAAACTTTCCAAACTCCAGTCAAATCCACTTCAAGGATAACCCCATACTCCATCTTCCCTCAGTCTAAGCCAGTCCACAGCACACTGATTCTTTCTGGTACCTGGTGATCTGTAATATTCTTAATGTTGTATTCTGTATTAGTTATTTACCCAAAGTGTGTGTATATATACATAGAGAGAGAGAGAGAATGAGAAAGACAATTCTCCCTCATTTACAAATCAGTCCTAGAGTCCACGTTTTCTCCCTTTCCCAGTCTCAAAGCAACAACTGCTAATACTTTTGTATCTTTCCTAGGATGGTATCACCTACTCAACTGTACAGCCCTGATTTCTTTCTCCCATGTAGAAGCATATTGTTGTTGTGTAGTCGATAAGTCATGTCCAACTCTTTGCAACCCTGTTGGGGTCCTTTAATGGACCAGAACCTGGTGGTCCAGAGTCGACGATGAGAAAGTGAAAGAAGGAAGGAGGCTAATATTCCCTGGGTTACCGAGCCGGCCTTCGAGCTCCCAGGAATCAGCCAGGCTCCTCTGTCCATGGGATTTCCCAGGTAAGAATACTAGAGTGGGTTGCCATTTCCTTCTCCAGGGGATCTTCCCGATGCAGGGATTGAACCCACTTCTGCTGCTTGGCAGGCGGGTTCTTTACCACTGAGCCAAGGGAAGCCCAGAAGCATATTATATATTAGATTTTTACACTACACCCTTTTCACTTAGCTGTAAATCTTAAACATATCTATCTATCTATATATGTATATACCTTCCATGATTTCTTGTATGGATACCACTCATCAGCTTTGAGTTGATGTACACTCATCTTCTGGCACATTCACTTTAATTAGGAATCATTTATTCTTCAGTCAAGAAAGTCTGACATCACTTTCTCATATGTTTAGAATTTTGCATCATCTGTTCATTACTTCTTATAACAGGTATAGTTCAGAGCTTTTAAGAATCAAGATATCCTCAATGAATAAAACCCCCACTTTCCTAGTGCCACCTCAAATATAAGAGCCCATCCCAGTTTGATCCAAAAGAACCTTCTATGATGATTGAAACATTCTATATCTGCATTCTCCAAGCTGACAGCAACATGTGACTATTGAGTATTTCTCAGGTCAGTCATTCAGTTGTGTCCGATGCTGCAACCCCATCGACTGCAGCACGCCAGGCTTTGCTGTCCATCACCAACTCCTGGAGCTTGCTCAAGCTCATGTCCATCGAGTCGGTGACGCCATCCAACTATCTCATCCTCTGTCATCCCCTTCTCCTCCCACCTTCAATCTTTCCCAGCATCAGGGTCTTTTCAAACGAGTCAACTCTTCTCATCAGGTGGCCAAAGTATTGGAGTTTCAGCTTCAGCATCAGTCCTTCCAATGAACACCCAGGATTGATCTCCTATAGGATGGACTGGTTGGATCTCCTTGCAGTCCAAGGGACTCTCCAGAGTCTTCCTCATCACCACAGTTCAAAAGCATCAATTCCTCACACTCAGCTTTCTTTATACTCCAACTCTCACATCCATACATGACTACTGGAAAAACCACAGCCTTGACTAGACAGACCTTTGTTGGCAAAGTAATGTCTCTGCTTTTTAATATGCTATCTAGGTTGGTCATAACTTTTCTTCCAAGGAGCAAGCATCTTTTAATTTCATGGCTGCAGTCACCATCT